AATAATAACAATAATAATAATAATAATAATAATAATAATAATAATAATATAATAATAATATAATAATAATAATAATATTATAATAGTAATAATAATAATGTAACCTGCGATTAGTGCAGTGTTCCGGCAGACTGTGTCCAATGTATGCAAACCGCCTGTCAATCGGTTTGGAAGAGCAACAGGTCACAATCCAGGGATACATGATGTATATATTATATGTTCACGTGTAAAATACCACGCGATGTTGGTGAAAGCGACAAACGCATCTTGGTACATAGTCTAGGAAGTTCAGCCTCTGCCACCGCCGAATCGGGTGGAGCAGCAGCACCCAGTCAACGTAGGCCTCTGAATGAGTAGTGTTCTCTGGGAATCAGGGATGGCTGTTTGATGTTGTATCAAATCCACACGCGAGAAGCAGTCAGTCCGATACTTTCTCTAGCCCGCTGAAAATGAAACAAATGGTGCCTGACTGCGTCGGCCGTCAGGTAGTCTTAGGCCGACAATGCGCTGGCGGGCGGCCACATGTTTGTTTCCGCTTGAATTGTGTGATGTTGTTCGGTAACGTAGGGCCCACCCCACCAATGCTTCATTCAGCAGAACATGCGTTCTCTCAGTTATCTCACTCGAACGCACAACCATTTGCTGACCTTGAAACGCATCAACGTGTCCCTTGGCGCTGGTCTGAGACGTTTACCGGTCTTTCACCCTCACAGCCGTTCTGTGAAAGTAATTACAATAGTAGGGCTGTTGTAAAGCAAAGGTTTGGGCGGTGGTATGCATCATGGTGCACATAGTCTATGTAGACGTTGCATCGAACATACACCGCGTGTATCTCACCTCGGACGCTCGATCACGTAGTTCATCTGCAATACGCACGGGCGATGGTACAGCGGGTAGGTCGGTTCGTATCACGCCACGAACTGTGCGAAAGGGTGGGGTGTGCCCTACTCAAACACCTGAATGGAATATGCCCCAGGATTCACTCCACATCAGATTCGGAACTAAGTTCATAATTCATCATGATTCCTCTTGCTTGACTGAACCACACCCTTTAATGATGTCACGAAGTACAGTATTGCCCCTTCTCTGTGGAGGGCTCCATAGATTGCACGTGCTTGAATGCTGTGTCTCCTGAGCCTGGATGTACTACTCCACGCCATGTATTCATTTGATATCGTTCCAATCTGAACCCCAAAGGAGGTGTAGGGGAGAGTACCTACCAGCACTGGCTGGCTCTGTTTGGGAAGTTGGACGGTCTGTGTCGTGCCACCTCAACAGCACTAGGGGCATATTATAGGGAATCTGGATCACCCAGGTCAACAGCGCGCTACTCAGAACGATGGGGTATTAATCGAAACTAAGGAACGCGCATGATGAACGACGAGAATGGTGAAAGAATGAAATGCTTTACGCATCGCCGTCTGCTGACATTATTGTAATGTTCATATTGACAAAAGTTGAAATGAAATGCATCTCACACAAGCGTGCTTCACGAGCCGATAGTTATCTCGTTGAGGCTGCTCATGCTGGAGATCCCTTCCAAACTCCGAAAGGCAAGCGAGGCAACAGTTCCGAAGAGCTTCTGGCGGTGCGTTTGTACGACACTGCCGAGGTGATACCGTGCCCACGTGTTGGGCCACACCCCTTCAACCACCGGTCAATTTGCGCCGAACGAGGGCTTCCGTGGCAGCTGTCACTCAGTGAAGGTGGCTTCAAAACGTTTCGAACGCGGGGTCGAAAACGAAATCACGACTCCGGTGTAGAAAATAGCATTCTCACGTTTTGTAACTGGTTGACTCCGCGTACGGAGCACGATTTCCCTCCCCCGGGGATATATGGGCATGAATCAAGTGTCACCTGAACGACGGAAAATCTAGAACCGTGACGCTGACCATTTGCCAGCCTTTTGCGAAATGGGGTTGTTCTGGTTCAACGTCGGCGGTCGCATTGTCATAGCGGGAGCGGGTTCTTCCCCTCCTCTTGTCATTTCGCCGCCTGGTCCGTCAAACTTGGCCCCCATACGACACCACGTTTCCCATCAGCACAATAAACGGTGGGATCCACGTGGGTCTCTGCGACAAATGCGTACACACAACACTGAAGTTCACCCACGTCAGAAGGAATAAGAGGAAACCACCCGCTCAATAGCGCCCCGCCGCAACGAAACCCACCCAAATGCGTTCCTGATACGCACACGAGTAGGAGACAATAAATTCACATCGGAGTTCAGCATGCATCTCTGTTTCGTTCACACTCAACAGAGTGCGGAGATCCTTTATACGCGCGGTTTTGAGTCAGGGACATGCCGATGGAACGTATGAGCGGCCCTCCAGAAAACACAACCGTCACTGGTGCCCGCGCCCGCAAATAAACGTAGAAATCATTTCTCTACCCCTACAGTGCTACTCCTGCAGGTGCCAGAAACTCCAAAGAATACCTGTGTTTGTATAACAACAGTAGTTTTGCCGTGGCCATTGCGGACCTCCGTCAATGAAACTCAAAACCCGCGCTTACACCGTACACCGGAAATAGTCTCCATCACCATCAACGAAGGTCACCTCTACGCGAGGCCATGCTGGCAGTGCCCTGTTGCAATGAGAGGGCAACACCAGACCACGCAACGATGCCGGCCAAACGACGTTGTCCGTGGGCCGGTCGAATGCCTTTCCTTTCCGAAAACGATCCAACGCAACGACGTTGACCATGTGACACCGTGGATGGGCTGATCAAACTTCCCGTTAGTGGCACCGAGATGGAGGCGCTCTAGCGAGGCCGCCCACTTGACTTCGGCTGGTTGAATGAATGCCCAAACTTCAACTGGCGCAACGAGGACGGCCGGATAACTTGGTGAAATGGCTGATTGAATATTCCATCGAGTGTGAGAGTCTTCGAAGATTGCAGCCACACCACTTCCACGATAGGCTGATTGAACTTGCCGCTTAGCCTCAAATGCTGCAGTGACATCGGCCTCGTGGCGCTGTGGATGGGCTCGTCAAACGTTCCGTTGCTGGATTCACCGAGTGCCAATTTCTCCAGGGACACCGGTCTTACGACGTGGTGAATCGGCTGGTTGAATGAATCTCCAAGAGCCAGTTGGCACAGCGAAGGTCAAGATTGTCCATGAAGCGGCTGGTTGAATTCAGAGCCCTACCTCAGCCGCTCCAGAGACGGCGGCCATGATACGTTCTGGATAGGCTCGTTGAACGCCCCGCCCAAATCCAGGAGCACCATCGATGTCGGCAACACATTCCCGTCGATCCTCTGGTTGTAATTACGCCCAAACATGGAACATCGCAGGGACTTGGGCAGTGCACCTCCGTATATCATCTGCTTGAAGTGCTTACCAAACACCAGCTCGTCCAGTGACACCGGTCACTCTGTTTCATCCCATGGCTGGTTGAAACATCGCCGAAATAAAGTATCTGGAGTTTTATGGGCCATGAGACGTAATTGACGGGCTGGTTAATCGCCTAACTCCAGTTGCACCAGCGATGTCGGCAATATCCGTCGGTCCTCTCGTCGAAAACCCTACAAACGCGAAGACGTCGTAGTGATGTAGGCAGTTCACCTCCGTGAAGCGATTGATTGAAACTCCCAAGGAACGACAACTCCTGCGAAGACGCCGGCCACGCTGCTTCGTCCATTGGCTGGTTGCACTCTTGACCGAAAACAACTTTTTCGAGGGATGTGGGCCAGGTTACTCCCTTCACTGGCTGATTGGAGGAGAATCCGAAAAAAATTATCCTCCACGGATGCAGGCCACGAGACTTCGTCGATCCTCTGGTTAAAACGACTCCCAAACGTTATGCGGCGCAGTGACGTGGGTAGGATACCTGCGTGAAGTGACTGATCGAATTCCTTACCAAACACCAGATCTTGTAACGACACCGGTCACACTGCTTCGTCTACTGGTTGGCTAAATCGACGACCAAAAACAGGTTTTTGGAGGGAAGTGGGCCACCTGACGCCGTTCACTGGCTGGTTGAAGGCGTGACCGACAACGATTTCCTCCACGGGTGCGGGTCAGAGGCCTCCGTCGATCCTATGGTTGAAATCCCTCCCAAACGTTGTGCGCCGCAGCGACGAAGACAGGACGATGCCTTCTATCGGTTCGGTTGACTTCCACACCACCTCACGCACTCGAAAGGCCGGCACGAGCGTCACAGCCAAAGGACCCTCGGCTGCTGTGGTGCAAGGTTTCTGACCGTCACCATCATGAACAACACCAGCCCATAGACGAGGCGGTGTATCCTTATCCACCGTCAGGCACGGTGCGGGAACATGCCGACAACCTACAGAACGCCAACGATGCCAGCTGAAGGTCCGCTCTCGACGTGTACCATTTCTTCCCGTCGCAGCTCTGGTTCAGCGCAACAATGAACGCGTCCAGACAGCGATTGAGATCTGCGAGAACAAAAAACGTTGCGCAGTCAGAGTTGCTCGGGCATGCCAAAGGAGACAGCCGGATCGTGTACGGACAGAAGTAACAGCACCACAGCACCATATGTAGCATGGGTGGCACGACAGCACAATCTGAGGACATCTGAGCTGATTCGCGCTCGTTGATTTTTGATGGCCGACAAAACACCCGGACTTTCCGGCTGCTCTGTTCTTCGCTGACCTTGATGGAACATATCCTCCGCAGCAAATACGACGCCCCGATGAACACCCTTTCAGTGCAATGCCCACATTAATGAACGCAACCAAGGGACCTAGCACACGGATGACGTTGATTACGATGGAATATCAACTGCTTAGTACATATTCTTGTCTTTGAATGCCGCCCGCGCTGATTGGTACTTGACTTGCGTTTCAAGCTGGGTAAGCTAAAACACTGCAGCATCTATTAATAGGCCAACAGAGGGCTACCCTTGCCGAATTATCGCGATGGTGCCCTGAACGCAGGACCGGCGCAAGTGAAGAAAATGAGACACTACATGCTGTTGACGTAGCGAGACTGAGCATGTACTGAGATACCAAAACCTATATGGCCCTATTGAGCAAAAGAAATATCTAACATAAGATCCCCTCTCTTCAACATCCCAAAGCCATTCAGCTACAGGGAGTTTCATTTGAGTGACGCACGATTTTCGAACAGCTCTTTTTTCAAAATGATTTCCCTGCTGCCGAAAAAAGACATTTCCGCGGACAAAAAATAATAGTGTGTGGTTCATGCAAGATAACACCGGAGGCGGCGATGCCACCCAAAAAAATATTGGCAGCCCCTTCCATACAAACCACGGGGGTGCTGTAGCCGAAAGGCGACTGTCGATTGACCAGCAGTAGCCCAAGCACGTTCGTGAGTTGTGCGAAAAATAGGTGCCTCATCAGGAGGCCGAAAAGTGGAGTCCAGCAGCTACCAGCTCCTTCCCGCCAAAAAATATTCAGCGTTCCGAGCACAGCCTTGCCAGCAGAAAATCCGGGCGGCAGCTTGTCCCAACACCACGGGGAGCAATCGCCCGCGACCATTTTCGCGTTGTAAGGCCGGGAGCGTGACCGGTGTGTGCCCCTGGGGGCCTGTTTGACCTGGAATCGAGGCGAAACGCGCAGCCTCGATCGCAGCTGGAGTCAACCACGGTAGCAGCCCTTGGCGATCTCATCCTGTGGCGCATGCCGGCAGGCACGGAGAGTCTTGACCGGTGCCGCTCTGTTCTGGGAGCTCGGCAAAGCCGGCAGTGAGGTCTGGCGTGCTCTGTGGAGGGAGGGTGGGGCATTCTCCGTTGGCGAGCTGTGTTGCTGGGCTAGAATTTCACGCCGCAGCTGGCTTCGGCTGCATGCCGACAAGCCCAGGTGAGACGAATTTCTACCCCTGCTGCGGTTTCGATCCCCTCACACACCCTAGGATGTAGTTGCAATAGAACAGGTTCGGCCGTTCCTTGCCCGCAGAGCAGCAGCTGATCCAGTCTCTGCTTCCTCACTGCTGCAGAACTTCGCCCGCTTCTTTTGCTGTGTGGTGCGCCAGCCGTGTCAACTGAATTTCGAACCTCGCTGAGCGTCCAAGTCTTTTTTCTGCCTCCATGTAAGGCCTCCCATGGAGTGCAGAGAGGCGCGCGGAGTGGCCTAGACTATCTGTCGTTGACTTTCATTGGCTTGCGGACCCTTCGGGTCCATTACATAATTCGTTTACCGTTTTTGGGGTAAGTTAGCCTGTGACCACGGGAATCAACCCGGGCAAGTGTTAGACTAGTCCGGACACAAATAGGTACTAGGAAGAGAGAACGAAACGGTTCTTACCGTGAGGACAACCGGCTTTGCCGAGCTCCCAACACCACGGGGAGCTCTGTCTCTATCTGTACGGCAAGCGCATGTTTTGTCCACGAAGCTCCTCCGCTCCCCCCCCCAACCCCCCCCCGCTCGTGCCACCCGGTGAAACGTCGGCCACAAAACCCGAAAACCGTTATCATCCCCAAGTTGGTGGCAAACCAATTTGCTTTTCCAGCTGGTCGTCAAGGTTCAAATGAACGCCGTCCTGGTCCCTTCTACTCTTTTGAGCCTTTGGTTTGCAACTCTGTAACCCTGAAACTTGACCTACACGACACCACTTAGATTTAAGATCATTACACTGTTGTGTAGATACGCGTGCTATTCGGGTTGGGGGTAGGCGTCTCGTTGACTGATTCGTAAAGTGATGGAAGGATCTTGGGTACCATATGGAACAAAACCATGACAGAAACATGGTGCTGGTGAGCGCTTGACTCCTATTCGTTGCCATGAGAACCCGTGGCGACACCTTGTGCATGTCGGCTGCGTAAGAACCCTTAATGAATGCGCTAGGTTCATTTTTCATGGCATAGTCGGCGATGATGCCGCGGAAAGGGTACCAGGCCACCAGCAGGCGTTGCAAACGTGGAAAACGGTAGCAGCGACCCGAGCTGACAACTGTTCTACTAAAAAATACCCAACTTGCCACACATTGGACAGGAAAAGAGGCCAAGATCCCCACTACCTTTTCTCTGACAGTTGTGAGCGAAAAACCGGGCAGGATGGGTGGGCGGACGCCACAGCGCCCACGCGTGGATGTGGTCCATGTGGGCCATCTGACTCGTTTAACAAAGAGCCAAGAATTGGTTTGGCTGAAAAATTAAAGAAGGGCAGTGGCATGGTCTTGCGACTGGGTCAATCTCGGAACTTTTCGGTCCAAAAAATGGCGTACCTCTCGTACGTAGGGGTCCAACAAATATTATTTAAACTATTTCCCGCGAAGCGTGACAACGAAGGGGCGGAGACGAAGGAGAAGAATACGTAGATAGATGTCGTGGAGCCTAAACCATCTCACACAGAGGCCACCACTGCCACTGCAAAAACACGCTCACACTCTTGCACCACCCGTAGACGTGTATGTACGACTTCGCTGTGAAGCAGCGCGGGGACAAACTAGAAGGTTGTTTGGTGTGGACGACAAGCTCTCATTCATCATTAGCTGCTTGATGCTGCTACTGCTGCTGTGTGGACGTGCACAACTTGCTTCCCTCTCGGTTGCTGCTAGCAAGGGCAACGGGCCCCTAAAACTCGATCCCGACCCCTCCTATGATGTATCTACTTGGTCACCCTTGGCCTTCAGCAGTGTGTACGTCTCATTGTCTCCGGTTTGTTGTGCGTCTGTTGTGCATCACAAGATCGGCCTGCAGGCAGACGAAGACAGACCGCAGATTGATTGACTTGTGTGTACCTGCTTTGCTCACACGCTGCCACCATTGCAGTCTCGTCTGCTGCTGTGTGCTGGTTGGCTCGTGTTTTGTATATGTGTCATGTGGTGCTGCTGTTGTTCTACGCTTTCGGTGGATTCCTCCTCGGCGGCGTGACCACTAGCCAATCAGCTGTCCCTGTCCTACACAAAGTCCTACAGAATCGACATGTGATCGGTAGGAGGAGGGGTATCTACCCGGCTCTACCCCTTGAACACATGTATGATTATTTTTTGATCTTCCGGTCCAGCCTTGTGAAATATCAACGCGACGAGTATCGTCGGTGTTGCCTGTCTGATGCTGTCTTTGTATTTTGTCGGTAGCCCCGGGATTTTCATGGAATCGACTGTGGACATGGGAGAAGGAACAGACGCTACAAGCGGCGTCCCCAGAAGTACCTTGTACCGGACCGATTCCTTGGCGACAGGCCAAGCATCCAAGTACCAGCACGAGCACCACATCACCACATACCACCGCCATTATGAAGACAACCAACAATAACAACGCGGACAAACTTCTTCGCCAATAAGGACATTTATGGGATTTATTCTCCCCGAAGGTCTGATGACTTCCCTTCCGAGGGGTGCGGTTTGGGCGCAATCGATGTTGCCCGTAGGTGTTCGGCCTAATGGGCTGATACTTCGCTCGGTGTTGCTCCTAAGACGGTGTAGTTTAGATCGTCCGAGTGGGCTACAATCGCGCCCGCCCTGACGAGTTTGGTTGTGCATTGGTGGTGTTATGGAGACTCTTGGTTCTGGTGGGGTCGATGTCCTCAAACGAGCTTGTACGACCGCCGTTCAGCCCTCGTGAAACGTGTCAGATCCATCGGTGCGGGCAGATGCACCAGGTCCAAGTGGTAACAGCTTGATATTGTGTTGTGCTTGATTTGGAGAGGTGAAGTGTGGTCTGCGACCACTGGCACTTGTACGGGACGCACGCCTCCTACTTACCTCTCCCATTTACTTCTTGGTTGGCGCCGGACGCAACCGATTGGAAGTTAAGGCACATATCAAGGCCACAACCAAGCACAGAAGACGATACCCTCACGGGGTGAAGAAGAAGAATATTGACAGTGACTAATTTTGAAAACAAACGACAGACCACCAGAAACTGCACAACAGACACACCAGACCAGTCAGAAGGCACCGCGAAAAACAGAAATCGTTGATTCTCGCACAGGGCGGTAGTAGAGGCTGCTCACAACATACATTTCACGCATCTACCTCCACACGCCCCCTTTGAATTCAAGATAAATATTCACACCATTCTAAATTCGAGTCAAAAGCGCCGATCCGGAAGGCGCTCAAACAGGGTCAATTTTGAGGGCTAGGTGTCGCATTCTTTTGTCATCAGTAGAGGACATCACGAAGAGGCGTCGTACGTGCTGACACGTTCAGGTTTCCTACTGGAGTGAAAATATCGAAGGTCGCAGCAGACTCCGAAAACAGTCCGTAAATCTGCGCCGGAACAAAGCGGCACCCAAGATTTTTCACAGCCGTGCTCGCCGTCACTGGCCGTACACTCCTGAACTACGTGTTACTGTACAGCAGTAGATGATACCACTGGCTACTGCTGACACCCCCGTTCACGTGGCGGCGAGCCTGGCTGTGGCAAATGTTGGATGCCGCTTGGTTCTGGCGCAGAGTTCGGACTGTTTTCACAGGCTGTTGTGACCTTCGACATTTTAGCTCCGGTAGCAAACCTGAACATGGCAGCACGCACGCACGCACGATGCCCCTTCATGGTGTCTCTGCTAATGACAATAGAATGCGCCACCTACCGCTGGCGGAAAGGTGGTTTCTTTCTTTGTGTAGGATTAAAGTATGGGAAAAAGAGCCAGCGTCACAACCCATTTTCGGTACCCCCTGAACTTAGCAATAACAATATTCAAACTACAACAAAAGAAGAAGTGAGATTCATTATTTACCATATCCCACACTAACGGGAGAAGTGAGATTCAGGCGAGAAATTCACTGTTTTCCGAAATACTTCCATTTTAGGCCATCAAAAGAAGAGCGACAGCAAGATGGCGAACTGGTGACGACGAGGAAATCCATTTTCGAACGGACTTGTTGTGTCTGCTGCTGCGCGAGGCGGGTGTACTCATACGACATGCCGTAGTCGTAAGACCATCGACCTAGCATCCCTACAGAGCCGGGACGGAGCACGCCGGGTTCTCACCGAACCAGGCTCTCACATCACCAAGCGCGAAGCGCCGTGAAATACTCGGCGAGTCGCATGAAGCGTGCGCTGCATCCGGCTAAGGGTGTTCGGCATCTTGTGTTTGCTTCCTTGCGTACGGATGACAGCTGTGTATGACTTAATTTATTTTCTGGTGCTTTGACTTCCTGAGACAGTTGTAAGCACTGTGTAACTACCTGGAGGGTGCTTGACCATTTTAACACAACGTGGTGCGATCATCCCCCTGTCGCGGAGTGAGGGTTCTCGACTCCGCACAACATGATCCACTCGACCACCATGATGGTTACCGCCAAAAAAGAGGTCATAAAAAAAACGGCAACCTGGTTGCCGAGTTCACGAGGTGAATTGGCTTGTTTTACAACGTCGTTGCCAAGCGACGACAACCCAACCCCGATGGCAAACACCGATGGGGGGGGGGGCGTACTCATTTGTTGGTTGCCGTAGTCATTTGACCATTGACCACGCGTCCTTTTCGAGACGGAGCACCGTTCCTACCCCTACTAGAGACACCACCAACATTTGGGAGCCCTTTACGTTTCTGCCACAAACTACATCAAAATTCCTTGCACATGTTCACACGTCGGATAGATCACGATCTAGATGATCTGTGGTTTATAGATCAAGGTTTGGACGTATCATAGATGATCTGTGGAGTATAGATCAAGAGCACGCAGGTATCACAGATGATCTATGGCTTATAGATCAAGAGCGGCAGATATGTTCGGATCAATCTGTGTCTATAGATCAACATTCGGAAATATCACAGATGATCTATGGATTATAGATCATGTACAGCAGACAATGTACAGATCTATCTGTGTCTATAGATCAAGAATCGGAAATATCACAGATGATCTATGGAATATAGATCAAGAGTCGGAAATATCACAGATGATCTACGGGTTATAGATCAAGAGTCGGAAATATCACAGATGATCTATGGGTTATAGATCAAGAGTCGGAAAT